CGTTTCATGACACTCTGAATGAACTGCGGAGGACAAGCGCTGCATTCAAAGCGTTGTGTTTTCCCTTAGGCCGGCCGATGCAGAGAGCAGAAGATTGCCCTGAGGGCTCCTGTGGGGCCATGGGCGCTGATGCTGCATTGGCATCATTACCCTCAATGGCAGCATGATATTTTTACTATAATGACAGAGACAATGTTAATACAATTCAATATGGTAATACAACAGAGTAATCCATCAGTCTATAATAATAGTGTACAGTCCCTATTTGTTGTATTATTATAATAAGGGTTGATCCTGTTTACAACACTAGTGTAGTCTGCTTGTTAATCGAACACACTCCGCCCATATCTCATTCGCCTATAGAAAGTAGTTCATAGGAAAATATTTGTACGATTTCTTCTGGAGTTTCTTCTATGGGCTCATGCTGCATTATATCCGCCCACTGGCCCTTCTGAGCACAGCACTGCAGACTCCCGTAGCTTGTAAGAGGGAGAGAAGACGTTCTGTTTTTTTAACAGTAGATGTTTATATATCCGTTTCTGTTCAGATAACAGCTTCTAGCAATTCCTGTTCAGGTAACAGTTCCTGGTAGTTTCTGTTCAGATAACAGTTCCTGTTCAGATACCGGTTTCTAGCGGTTTGTGTTTAGTTTACTGTTTCCATTCGTATGATATTTTTCCAGCAGTTTGTGTTCATAACACAAAAAAACGCACAACAGTTTCCATTCAGATGACACTTTCTAGAGGCTTCTGTCTAGATTACAGTTTCTATTCACATTACAGTTTCTATTCACGTAACAATTTCTCTCCAGGAAGCAGTTGCTGTACAGATATTGTGACAAAAGCAATGATGATAGGTAGTAGAGTTCAATACAGACGGACTAAGGGCAAGTATGTGTTTCGCAGTGAGCAAGCGCAGTCTCATGGATATAATAACTGGAGATTACAATGTTAATTCAAAGGCTGCTTTAGATGCTGCATCTTTCCTTCTGCAGTTTTTCGTTGGTTTCCAGATGACTTGCACCTGTGGATAGACCCGTTCAAAGTGTAAGGACCATGCTGAAGATCCCTCACTAAGGGCATATTATATTATTATACTATTATCAATATCAGGGTACTGCCCGTGCATTCGGTATTGCCTGTTTAGTTAAAATCGCAAGAAAGTTCTTTTGCTTTCTTTAAAGAGGAGGTCGCGTTGTGGCATCGCTCCTTATTGTCGTGTACCTTTGAGGATCTCTTTCTCATTATGAACTGTGAATTTCTCAATCACCTTTCCTGTTGCATGGAATAATTCGTTGCCTCTTGATGATAGTACATCGCTTTTCGCCTCCTGTTCTCTGAAATCGAGGCACTGAGCTGCTCGTTTCAAACGCTGCAGCCTCTGCAGTGCATATGCTGGATGTGAACGGCAAGGTGTTGATTCTTGAACATTCTTTCTGTAGTTACATCTGTAATCTTTAAGTCCCTGTGTCTGTGTCCACAACCTAGTAACTTCCGCAACCCGTATCTCGCCGTCCATCTCAGCACAATGTAGGCTGACTGCAAGTTCGTCTCCTTTGTATTTCTCTGTTTCTGACCTCCTGACCCAATATTTTTGATGCAAAAGTTGAATCGACTCAACGTTGTTTGTTTTAGCTGCTTCTCAAACGCACCTCTAGAGTTCAAGCCTTGCGCTCAGCTAGACTAGAGTTTATGGGTTTAGGGATTTTATACTCATACCAGCTCACATCTCAGGAAGCCCTGGTGCATGATTGTTTGAGCCCTTGTCCGCGCCGCTGGTAGAAGGAGACTACTTCCCTTTTCGCTGCATGCAGTCAAGATAAGCCTTCAGGAAAGGGTCGATGCAATTCGCTCATTCAGTTTCTGACTGCTCTGTGCGTCACGTGCTGTTTGGGATGACTAGAGCCTCACTGCACGCCCTAGGCAATACTCTGTGCTTGGGTGCTCTAAAGCAAATGTGTAGGTGATGTTATACACACACATTGTACATATCGTGTGTCAACAATGAATCCGAGAAGACCAGAGATTTGATGTAGCTGGCAAAGCAACTCAAAATGCCTGCGAATAATGGGCGAATTTCTGCCTCACATATTTGTGGATAATCAAGAAACTTCAGTCGTAGGGGACGGGAATTGCTGAAGGATTCAAAACACGAAACATTTGCGTTACATATGTATTCACTGCGATTATTTATTTCCTTTGGTTGTAAACAAGTGAACAAAATACACAGTCATACTCTACACAAGCATCACTATGTTATCTCTCTTGCCTTCTAGAGGGATTTTCTTAGAAACTGAGGCAAGGCCAATATGCTTTCGTGCTGAAACTTAATCGAATGGGGGTTAGGTGGCCCTTTNTTAGAAACTGAGGCAAGGCCAATATGCTTTCGTGCTGAAACTTAATCGAATGGGGGTTAGGTGGCCCTTTCTCGTTCCGTTAGGGCAACCGAGTTCATCCGCAGCTGAAGCTAATGAGGATATCTTTTTCTTTCCTTTTTTTCTCCTGAATTTCCTGAAGCCCCATCCTATAACTCCCGCAGGCCTCAGCTGGGGCCTCAAGCCAAAATATCCTGCTTTCAACAGCTCGCTGCGCTGGCGTGCCGCACCCAGGCGATGCTGGCCATATTCTGACAATATTGTCCTGATTGTTATTTGCTGTTCTTTTTTTGTTCGTTGTTGTTTTTTTCGTTGCTATTGTCGTATTTCATAAAAACAAGAGGAGGGCCCCCTTGACAGGCGACGATGCTGCCATTAATGTTCGTCCGAGCTCAGCAGCTGCAGTTAAGGTGGCTTTGAAGCATTCCAGTTTTACTATTACGGCGAAAGCAAACCCCGAGAATTACCGGATACGATCAAAGTTTAAATATTACTGAAAAAGTGAAGAGGTATGCGGAGAAGACTTAACGGGGTGCGGACTAGCAACCCTGATTCAACTTCTTGCTTAATCGGTTTCAAGGGGTTCAGATTTGGGTGCGGTGCAACTGAGCCCGCAACGCCCCACATAGGCAAATACCCCCGAATTAACTCATTTAATGCATGCTGAATGCACTAATGTATTTAATACTTGCAAAAGAACTGCTGCTGGCACATCTAGACTCTACAGAAATGAACGATCTAAACACATGAAAACGGCACCTCGTGTATTTTCAGGCCGCTTATGTCTATTTTTATTCTTGCTGCATGCTGAGAGTTTGTTTTTATATTATTTCAAGTAGAGTTGAAACTAATTTGTTGAAAGCAACAAGTATACCTAGCACTTTTGGAGCAACATTTAACGCATGCCCAAGTGGTGGTAGAAGCGTTCACTACGATTCCCAAGCAGGGTAAGGGGCTAGCAACAGAAATACGGAGTCTTGAGGCAAGCGGTGATACAAATTAAGATCAAAATAAATATAAACCAAAGATAAAAGGAAGCCGCAAGATAACCAATACTCGCGCTTCATCTCTGCCTCTGCAGAGGGAGCGATGCTCCCATTGAAACCGGAGCTTGCCTGCCCTGCATCTCGCGAGCCCGCGAGCGATGCACAGTTACTGGAGGGCTTCTTTTTTCGGTAACCCCAAAGATGCAATACATTTTATTTATGTGAGGTAATTATTAAAATTCCTCTTAAATAAAAAGGAGGGCTCTGCAGCCCTGAGACCCCGACGGTGCCGGCGTTCCTTTGTGTGTGCATCCTTGGCATGAGGAGCAGCCCCTACATTATGGAGCAATTCCCTCGCTGTATCACCGTAGAGTAATTCCACAACAATTTTTTTCAAGGTTTTTTTTTCCATTTTAACTCCAGTTATACGTGTTGCGGATCGCGAAAATACCTGTTGTTTTTTTTCCCCCCATGAACACCTGTAGGCTGTCGATGAGACCATAGTTTCGCTGCTAGAGGAATACCTCATGGCGCCACAATTATAGTACTTTTAAACCCCGTTGGCCATGTCTTTTCTTCAAGGTACAGCTATGGTTTCTACGTGAACTGCCATACTAACGCGCATATCAGGGTTTCCGGTGAGGCTTTTTATTCTTGAATTCGATTCGTTCATTTCTTACAGCCTGTCCAACTGAAACGCGCAAAAAATATATGAAATGGGCAATATTGCAGCTTAGAAGCTATCAGTGGATACACGATGACTTCACCAGCTGTCGTTCCTGCCAAAAAGGCAGAGCCTGTCGTCGACCCGCTCCAACGCGGCGAGGCCCCTTCAGCGCTGGCTTACCCGAGTGCGACTGGCGACAATGATGGTTCTCTCACGCTGCAGCAGCTACAGCAACAACAGCAATCGCACCTGCAGCAGCTCAGCTCTAGGAGGAGGAATTCACGTTTTATTTCTCCCTACATTTTTACCATAACTGTTGCATCGTTGACCTTAACTTTCTTGCTGCTGCGTTGTTTCCACTTCCTTCTCTCTGGCTCCAGAGGTGTGGCTTCTTTCAGAGAGTTAGCTGGCGACGATGGTGCTGAATGTCCCTGGGACGAGGGTTCAGACCCCTCTGCATCTGATCCTTCGGGGCAGCCCCTCCCGCAACGTGGTGCACCACAGAGGGGGCGGCGGGGTGCGGGGGCCCCCCAGCTGCAGGATCAGCCACCCGATGATGTCGCTGGAGGTGCACAAGAGCAGCGTTTGCCGCTCTTCCGAGGGGATGATGCTGCTGGTGCTGCAGCGGCGGCAGCAACCGGAGCGCGCCCAAAGCAACCGCAGGGTGCACGGCCCCGCCATCACCAGCAACACGACGACGACCAGGAGCAGCAAGATGACCATCGCCAACTGCTNGTGCACGGCCCCGCCATCACCAGCAACACGACGACGACCAGGAGCAGCAAGATGACCATCGCCAACTGCTGCAGCAGCAGCTGCTGCAACAAGAGGAGGAGGAGGATGAGGAGGAGCTGGATGACGCGGCAGGTATCCGGGATCTCCTTGCACAAGCTGGGCACGATCCTGCCCTAGCTGATTTGCACGAGTGGGAGGGTCGTGATGTGTCGGACTCGGCTAAGTTGCAGATGAAAAATTTGTTGGTGTGGATGGGTAATAACGCTACTAAGTGCCGCGATATGTTGGATAAGCTTCCTGTTCAGCAGGCATTGGAGTTAGCTCTCATCGTATTAAGAACAATGACATTAGATTTAGCTGCTATATCTCTCGTGCCTGATGAGATGGAGGCACTGCGGTTCAGAACGGGCACTGCTTTGTTAGATTTAGCTTCTACTGCTCTTTCTGTAAGCAGCGAAGTAGATGAAGGGAATCCCGTTCGCATGGATATCATCTCTATGCNTCTACTGCTCTTTCTGTAAGCAGCGAAGTAGATGAAGGGAATCCCGTTCGCATGGATATCATCTCTATGCAGCGGCTCATACGTTTCGTTCGGTTGCAGCGGCCGCACACAGAGCGGACGACGCCGTACAAGAGAAAATTCAGAACAGTGACGTTGCTGGCTGCAGCGCGTATTGTGGGAAAGTATTGCTCGAGCAGCTTGTTGACGATCACAGGGCATATAAGACACTCCCCTAGACACGTGCTGGAGAGGGTAGTAATACAGGAAATAGCCACGCTGAAGGCGGTGTTTGCGGAGCATCAGTATCATATCACCCGAGACAGAATGCACAGGTACTACGCCGTATTCTGCCAGAAAAAATCGGGTTATTGGCTTCTCATCCCCCATGAAGAGCTCAGGTACGGAAAAGAACAACTCCCTGAATACAGAACGCTTCTGAAAAGACTTGATGATGCCGCCAGAAGTGTAGGCGGCACGGTGCTCCGTCCTGTATGGCGACGAGGGCCGTACCCGACGGAACCTGCTGCATCAACTGCTGCTGCAGCAGATCAGGATCCCGAGCAAAAGCTCCTCCTAGAGTCCCCAGTAGATGAGCGGCGAACAGAACATACCGCACCGGTATCCGCTGCAGCACGGAAACCCGGCAGTCCACAGCGCAGCAGGGAGCAGGGTGCAGCAGCGCCTGATACTCCTTCAGCTTCTGGTGCTCCACGGCATTCTGTTGCAGCGCCTGCTGCTCCATTGCATCCTAGTGCAGGATCTGCTGCTCAATGGCGTTCTGGTCCTGCTGCTGCACCACCTGCTACTCGTCAGCGATCGGGTGCAGCATCCGCTGCTCCGTTGCGCTCCGGTGCAGCGTCTGCTGATCCACTGCTTTCTGCTGCTCNTCGGGTGCAGCATCCGCTGCTCCGTTGCGCTCCGGTGCAGCGTCTGCTGATCCACTGCTTTCTGCTGCTCGGTTGGGCTCTGGTGCAGCGTCTGCTGCTCCACTGCCTTCTGGTGCCCTGTGGCTCTCTGGTGGAGAGACTTTTGCTCCACTGCCTCCTGCTGCTCGGTTGGGTTATGGTGCAGCATCTGCTGCTCCACTGGGTTCTGCTGCTCGGTTGGGCTACGGTGCAGAGTCTGCTGCTCCACCGCTCTCCGCTGCTCCTGGGCGATCGGGTGCACAGTCTGCTGCTCCACTGCGTTCTGCTGCTCAGTGGGGCTCTGGTGCACAGTCTGCTGCTCCATGGCCTCCTGCTGCTCCATGGGGCTCTGGTGCAGAGTCTGCTCCACTGCCTCCTGCTGCTCGGTTGGGCTCTGTTGCACAGACTGCTGCTCCACTGCCTTCTGCTCGGTTGGGCTATGGTGCAGAGTCTGCTGCTCCACTGCAGTCTGGAGTCCGGTGGCGCGCTGGTGCAGAGTCTGCTGCTCCACCGCCCTCTGCTGCTCCGTGGCTGTCGGGTGCAGCATCTGCTGCTCCATGGCCTCCAGCTGCTCCGTGGATTTCTGGTGCAGACTCTGCTGCATTGACTTCTACTGCTCAGTTGGGCTATGGTGCACAGGCTGCTGCTCCATTGCGCCTTGATGCTCCGTGGGCCTATGGTGCAGAGTCTGCTGGGCCACCGCCTTCCGCTGCTCCGTGGCGATCGGGTGCACAAGCTGCTGCTCCACTGCGTTCTGCTGCTCAGTGGGGCTCTGGTTCAGAGTCTGCTGCTCCACTGCCTTCTGCTGCTCGGTTGGGCTATGATGCAGCATCTGCTGCTCCATTGCCTTCTACTGCCAGGTGGGGCTCTGGTGCAGGTTCTGCTGCTCCACTGCCTTCTGCTGCAGCACCTCCTGCGCAGTGGCACTCTGGCGNCTGCTGGTCCATGGCGTTCCGCTGCAGCATCGTTTGCTGCAGCACCTTCTGCTGCAGCGCATTCTGCTGCGGCGCCTCCTGCAGCACCTGCTCCAAGCCGTTCTGCTGCAGCACCTTCGGCTGCAGCACCTTCGGCTGCAGCATCTTCGGCTACAGCACCTTCGGCTGCAGCGCCTTCTGCTGGTGCATCCCCTTCTGCTGGTGCACCGCCTTCTGCTGCAGAGCCTTCTGCTGATGCAGAGTCTGAAGGACAGACCAGCACCCCGCCGCAGCGGCGAAAACCTGCTCCTTACTCGGAGCAGCGCCGAGTGCGTACAGCTCGCCAACGGTCCGCGGAAGGGTCTGATGACGGCCGGCAGGGTGCTGCTCTATCCCCCAGCGAGTCTCCTACCTCCAGTGGGCCTGAGGAGCAGCAGGCGGTACTGCCGAGATATGCTGCACCCACAACACCCACTGAGGGAGAGACCACCACCACCCCTTCTGCCCCCGGAAGCAGCGGGCCTCCAGAGGAAGCAGCACGCCGAAGGCCACCGTTTCCGCAGCAGCAGCAGCAGGAACAAGAACGACAACAGCAAGAACAACAACAACAACAACAACAACAACAGCGACGAGAACAACAACAACAACAGGAACAACGGCAACAAGGACAACAACAACAACAAGGACAACAACAGCAGCAACAGCAGGAGCAGCAGCCGCAACAACAGCAACAGCAACAGCAACAACAACAGCAACAGCAACAAGAACAGCAGCAGCAGCAGCCGCAACGCCGAACACCCTTCCGCCCCCGTCCCATATCTGCTGCCCTTACTAATGTGCGTATTAAAGGGAGCAGGGACAAGCAGGGTCAAAGCGCTAGCAAAAAAGGTGCTTCTGCTGCTGCTGCGCCAGCTGCTACTGCGCCTGGTGCT